CTTTCTCTTCCATTTCGTTTCTTTTTCTCTATAAAGTGATATTAACTAAAGATTGATTTAACATTAAAATTTTAATTAAATAATGATATATAAAACAAATATATATTTAAGAAAAAAGAACTTTTAAAGAGAAAATTGAATATAAGTGAATTGAAAAAATATGAATCAAGTAAATAGTTTGAATAAATTAATCAAAAACACAGAGAAAGAAAGTGTTAAAGAGATTGGAGAGAGTATTAAGGAGTATTACCTTAATTCAACGACACTTGAAAATTTAAAAGATGAGTTAATAAATAAAGAAATAGAAGAGGAGCTTATTAAATGGTTAGCCGAAAATGACATTGAATTAGCCATTGAAATTGGCATAAGCCCTATTCAATTAATAGGAAAAAATATTTCAAAGAAAAATATTAGTAAATTATTATCACACAATCCATTATATAAAACTACAGAAGAAGGAAATAATGAGAAAGGTAATTCTAAATTAAAAGGAGAATTAAAAGAAGTTTGTTTTGATAAAGTAATAGCACCAGTATTTGAAAATAAGTATTATTCTATTTCTATTCTTCTTCAAGCATGGAAAAAAAGATATTTATTAAAACAATCATTTCCAGAGATACTTACTTGTTTTGATATGAAAGAAGTATATGAACATGAATCATTAAGAAATAATAAAATATATAAAGACTTATTTTCTTGTGTTAAACATCATTCATTTGATGAATCTATCATTAAACAAGTAGAAATAAGTTTAACTACTTCTTATGAATTAGCTAGATTTAGAGCTTTTGATGGATTTATTACAGTGATTGAATTAATGAAACAACACAAAGAAATGATTGGACGGTTTTGTTATATTTTTCAACGATGTTTTTTAGATTATCATTTTTTAATGTTCTTTATTGATAATAATGGACTTTCATTATTAAAAGATTCGATTGAATTTGAAGAAGTAAGAAAAATTATTTATATAATAAATTTATTACCAAGTACCTGTTATTATCTTGATAAAAGTGGAATTAATGATTTAATTTTAGAATATGCTTATCAAAATAAAGATAAATGGAGTTTAAATTGTTGTAAAGAAATTGCATTACATGGAGAAAGAAGAGAAAAATTATATTTATTTGGAAATGAATTGATTCAAGAAAAGAATAAAAATGGTGTTGATATAATAAAGAATTGGTATTGGAGAGAAGAAAGTATTAATGAAATTAATGAAATTAAATTCACAAATAAGAAAGATGGTATTAAATTTATAAAAGATATTATAAGTAAAGATAATAATGAAAATGATTTAACTTTTATTCAAAGATATCATGCTATAATGAATTGTATTCTTTCTGATGATATTATTCCACCATCAAAAAATGAATTTACTTTATTTTTTTTAGATAATTATCCAATTAATACTCTTCTACATTCAAAATATTATTCATATGTTAATGATTTCATTAATTTTGTAATGTCTATAATTCATTCAGAATTTAAAGAAAATATAATAACACTTTTATCTTATTTTATCAACACAACATATCAGTCTTTACTTCCAAAACATTTATATCAAAATATTATTGATTTATTAGATAATGGATTTATTCCTTCTGCTATTATTATTAAGTATTATATCGATAATAAATTAATTGATGAAAGTCATAAAGAACTTGTTCAAAAAGCCATTCTTAATGGAATAAAAAATAATATTTCAGTTGAATTTATTCAATGTATTGATGTTAAACAACCATTACCAATTATTAATACAATTAGTCTTTCAGAAGATATTATAAAAGCCATTCTTGACCATTCAGAGAAATACGGTAAATGGGAATTAAGTGAAATGTATTTACAACAAAGTGTTTGTGAATTTAAAAATGGTAACAGAGATCCATTATTAATTCATCTTTTAAGTGTAGCAAGAAAATTAGGAATGAAATTTGATATGGAAAAAGATATTTTAATGTCATTAGAACCAACAGAACAAAATACAATTGATCTTGTTAATTATTTTAGTACATTAAATGAATATGATAAATCAGCAAAAGAAGCAGAAGATGCTTATACTTCTAAATATTTTGAACAAAATAAATTTGATAGTTTTGATGATATTCAAATTCCTCTTGTTGCTATTATTCCTATTGGTCCTTCAAGTGATGAATTCTTTTATCCAATAGCAGAGAAGATGGAAGCATTAGGAACCGAGTTTTTATTTGATCTTGGAAATACACCATTTAGATTTATGAAAATGAGTAAACGGATATTTAATAATAAGAATATTAGCTTTCTTCGATTCTTTTCAATTGTTGCTATTCTTAATTGTGAAAATTTAAAAGATTATGAAATTAAGAAACATATTAATTCTCTTCAATCAACTGTTGATGCTAATTGGGAAAATGTATATTCTATTCAATTTCTTTTAATAAATTATCCATCAGATTTACCTAATGTTAATACATTTATAAAAACAGAAGATAATAAAATACATGTTATTAATAATTGTCCTGTTGTAAAAAATATTATTAACTCAGTTATGTTACAATTAGGAGAAATGAAAACGATTTATCCCGCATTAGCTCCTGATAAATATATTCTACCAAAAAAAACTACAACTATTTCTTTCTTATTAAATGCAGGTGAAGTTCATCTTTATCTTAAACATTTTGATATTTCATTTAAATTCTTTAAAGACGCATTAAAAATGGCAAAAACTTCTAATGATTCATTTAGTTTAATGACTGCTTGTATTGGAATGTGTTCTTGTTTAATTACTGAAAAAAAACCATTTGAAGATGTAATAAATGAAACTTTAGAAATACTTAATAAAAAAGGAGAAAAAAGGTGTTGTAAACGAATTAAATTATTACACGCTCAGTATTATATTGATATACAAAATAACGAACAAGCAAAGAAAATTATTGAAGACATTAATAAAATTTATGATGGAAATGAAATTAGTGGAGATATCTTTGATTGTTATGTTGCTCTTCAACAAGCTAATGTACTTAATCAATTAGGAATGATTCAACATCAAAAATATATTCTTCAAAGAGTAAGTTGTTTAAGTAAAGAATTAAGTTTTGCTAATTTTGCTATAAATGAATTAGCAAAACTATTAAATGTATATTTTATGAATGACATTGATGAAAAAGAAGATTTATCTTCTTTACATGATCAAACAATTACAAAAGTTCAATGGGAATCATTACAATCTTATGTATTATATAGAAGTATTTCATTAAGAAATAAGTATGATCTAAAATGTGCTCAAATCATTTTAAGACTTTTAACAAAATATGTTTCTTATATTAAAAAAGATGACCAACACGTTCTATTAAATCGTCTAAAAATTATTACAAAAATAAATGGTGAAGTGTTAACAATTCCTTCTTCTGCTGAACCTTTCCCATTTTTATTATCAACTTCTATAACACCATCTTCTCCAATAATTCAAACACAGTCTGATATTCTTGATAGTCCATGGATTGTTGATCCAACCGCAGATAAAAAAGCATCAGAAAAAGTATATCTTGTAGAAAATGAAGAAAGTGAACTTAGAATAACATTTAAAAATCAATTGTCAATACCTGTGAAAGTTAGTTGTTTATATCCAGAATTTACTGGTGTTAAAATAAAAACATTCCCTGTCTCAGTTGAAATTCCTGAATTATCTACAGTAGTCTCAACTATCAAATTTATTCCATTACACCATGGGTTATTAACAATTGACAAACTTAATTACACTTGTTGTTCCCTCCATTTTAATATACCAGTTAATATAAATATTTGTGTTATTCCACCATTACCATTACTTAAACCTCTTCCATTTCCTCCTTCTATAACAGTATTTCCTGGAGAAACTAAAATAATATCAATCCCTTTACTCAATGAAGGAAATACCGTAGTGGGTAAAGCTTTTGTTAAAGTAAAAGGTGAAGGAATTTATCTTCTCGATTGTTTTGAAAAACAACTCCCATTACAACCTTCAAAACTTGCTCAAATAAAAGTAGGTATTAATACAACAAATTCACTTCAATCAACTATTCAAATTCAATACAACACTTGTGAAAGGGATTGTTTTGCTCGTTTAGTTGAACTACCAATTAATGTTTTTGTTTCAACTGGACTAAAGGCAGAGTCTTGGGAAGTTCGTTCAGGAGAAAATGAAATTCAAATTAGTTGTATTTTACATAACCCTTCATACAACGCATTTATTGTTATAATGGAAACTTTTCATATGAATCATAAACACAAAAAAACTACTACTATCTTTTCAGAGGCTCAATCAAGACACAAGCTTGTTACTTATATCGATAAACCTGATGAATTTAATAAGACAATAATAAAAGATATAATTAACCGTGAAGTTATTATTAAATGGCAAGAAGCTGGAGGAAGAAATGGTCTTATTTTATTTGATGAGAGGTTATTATTAAAGTTATAGTGTCATATTCAAGTTTATTCTATGCTCTTTATTTATGTTTAAGTTTTTTATAATTAAGTTAATAATAAAACTATAATTATTCTTTTAATGTTTTGATTAAAAATCAGTCTTATACCAGACAAATGAATTGATTTATTTCTTAAATAAAAAAACACTCTGTATTGATTCTGACCCTATCTTCCTTATT